TTCCACTTTTCTAGCTTAGAGGTTACAGTTTGAAGTAATCGAATTACCACTATGGCCTTTAATTTCCACATCCTCTCTAGTTCCTCTTTCAGCTCTTAATATTTCTCTAGCTTTTCATATTCCTTTTTCCTAATCTTCCTATTACTTGTTATTGTCAATCACCAGTGATGATTTCTGAATCTTGTCTGTTACGACAATATTTGGTTGATTAGCTTGTTGTCTGGATGGAGAAGTCCAACAGGATCTTTGCGTTGTTATTCTCTATGATTTTCTAAAAATCTCCCATTTACTCTTGAGAGGGTCTAAGCCATCTACCGAACAGATTTTCCTGTAGATAATATCAACTTCTTTGAATCTTTTCGCTCACTCCTATGTTGTTATAATCAGTGCCTCATTGCTGCCCTTTAGTCCGGTTTTCTCCAACCACTGGTAGGATTTCACAATGTTAGCCAACTAAATTTGTTGCCATGTTATTTTCTCTCTTGATCGTTTTTCAATGCCTATATATGCTTCAGACATTCTTTCAGCAGCTATATAAAATTATATATATACCTAAAATTCTTGAGAATCTCTTTAGGACCCTCTGGGAGCGTGGACCACCATAATTTGAAAAATGATTTCACGAATTTTCTAAATAATAGTATAAAAAATAAAACTGGTCTTGTTTTATTCTGCACTGTTATTTCCTGGTTTTTTATTTCCATTTTCCATTATTCACATTTTTTTTAGAAAAAAACCCATCTTTTTCGCTTTTGCAGCCAACATTTTTTTTTTTTTTGCAAATTCGCATCAATCATCTTCAATGAACACAAGTTAAGTGGCTTATCATTTCGCTGATTAGGCTTGTCTCAGTAGTACGAAAATTTTGCCGCTTGAGGACAGAAGTATGAATCACACAGGATCCACACAGCAATTGCTAAATTACAAAAATGTCTTCTTCAAAAGCATTATTTGCGTGAACTTTGCATGAATTCAATTTTCAAAAATCTACGCGAACCTTACGTGATCCTTAAAAATTATTCAGCAAATCAATACGATTATCAATTACGATTATTTTGTACTTCCTACCGAGAGTAGACGGACGCAGAGCCATGGCTTATGATGATACTCTTAAAATTATTAGTTGATCGAATATTTTCTGTTATCAGAATATTCTATCAATATAATAAAAGAGAAAAATATCCGCCATATTTTACCTAATTTATCGGATGTCATTTGAAAATATTTTCATGCATGACAATCAAAAATAGAAAATGCCTTGAGGCCTTTAGAATTCCCCTAAAGAACCATCAAACAAAGCGATTATCCAGCGTCATTAAGTGCAAATTTTATAGATCATAAATATCCTTGTATATCAATTAAATAAAACAGGTTTTGCTGGTAATTTAAAGCCTAATATAAGTTGCAAATAAAGTCGTCCGTCGTTGATAATTATGTGACTAATGGAAATGCAAAAAAATTTTTGAAACAATCAAATAATCCATCTTTAATTAAATTACAAAAATATTTTCTTCAAAAGCATTATTTGCGTGAACTTTGCGTGAATTCAACCTTCAAAAATCTACGTGAACCTTACGTGATTCTTAAAAATTATTCAGCAAATCAATACGATTATTATACGATTATCAATACGATTATCAAATTATTATCTCAGTGAGTTTCAAAAGAGAAAAAATAATTTTTTTCTTAGCAGATTGATAGAATTTCATTTAAATAATTGCAATACGACATTTCTTATGGATTTTTATGGATCGAATTTTTATTTTCATTTATTTTATTGCAAGCCTATTCATAAATACATTTATTTATTCACGTGAATTTCGTATGAACTAAAATAAATTTAATTCTTCGATGACTTGGCTTCGTGTAAATATGTTTTATTAGCCAAAAAATTCCCAGAAAAAAAATCCATATTTTGAAAATATTCGACGATTTCAAACTAAAATATTTTTACTTATTCGGCGACACTCATAAAATTGTTCAAAACAAATCAAATCGCCACAATTTTTTTAATTTTGTTGATTTTTTAATTTAAAAAAATTTCCTTATTGAATATGAAAATTTAAACGTAAAATTAAATTAATAAAAATAAATTAAAATTATAAAAGCAATTAAAATAATAAAATTAATTACAAAATAATTATAATAATAAGCAAACTTAATAAAAACACAAATTAATACCAAACAAAAAAAAATTGGCAAAAAATTAAGAAATTAAATTTCCGAATTACTGCTAGAGTTTTCCACTTGTATTTCCATCCTCAAGAACTTTCTCATGAAGCACTTTTTTCCGGTATTCAGCAGTGAAGAAGTCATTTCCGGTATTCAGCAGTGAAGCGAGTCAAATCAGAAATGGTGAATACCGTTAAACAAGAAAAAAAAAGATATTTAATGCATGAAAGGCTATTTTCTCATGAATCTTCCTTTTTTTCCAATCATTTAAATGTTAACCAATTCTCTCGTGGCTCGATCGCGACGAAATGTGGAATTTCAAAATACTTATCGGTTTCAGACTGTGAAAAAAAAATCTTCTTAGAATCCTCTTTTGCAATAGCGAAACAACCAATAATCTCTGAGAATTTAACTCTTTTCAAATTATTTTAATAATTATTATACAATAATAATTTTCAAATGTAAATTTACTTAAAACCGGTTTATTTTTAATTTTATTATCATTCATTAAATTTATAATTTGAACTAATTTAAAAAATTTCATCTAAAAATTTAGCTTTGAATGAAAAAAAATGTCGAAAAATTGAAATACGATTGATATACGTTTAAAAAAAAATTAAAAGTTGGCCAGCTGCTGCGATTTAGGGAGGGGAGGGGGGGGGGGGACAAATCAAACAACGATCAACTAATCAGCCAGCCAACCAATCAACCATTCAAATAATAATTATTCAAACTTTTCTGGAAAAAAAGTGGAAAAATCGATAGAAAACCATACTTTTCACCTATTGAAGTACAGACTGTGAAAAAAAAATTAAATAGTTAAATATTTCAATTAAATTAAATTAAATATTTTAATTATAATTTGGCTTTTTAATTATAATTTGGAGAAGTATTAGGGACCTATCTGTGGTACTTCTCTCCAAGTGGTTGAAAGTGTTCTATAGTGTTTGTTTGGCGGGCAATTGAACCAGAAATGGTGAATATGGCTTGGAAGAAATATTCGATAAAACGCTATATGTTTGAAATTTTTGCATTTTTATCAGTTATTTATCAACTATTTTTCCAGTACATTACAGATTCATTTAAAATTTTGTAAACTAAAATAGGCTAACCGAATGGTTATTGCCTTAAGTGTAAGAATTTCGTATTCTGCCATCGGATAGCAAAACTATAATTAAAAAGTCAAAGTGCTGGTGATAATCCATTTGTACTTCTATCAGTGAATTCCTTCCAAACATTTCTTATCATAAACTAATCATTCACTTGCTTTTTAATTTCTCAAATTAATAATTATCATAAATTTTTTATGTTCATTGTTCTTTTTGCAATAAAAACGAAAGGGTAATGAAAAAAAATAAAAAACTCGTTTAAATTTCAGATAAAAGTTAAAAAGTTGTGTATGTGTATGTGCGCGTACACTTGCACGCACATATGCAAGTGCATATACATGTGCATTTATACATGTGCATTTGGTATGTATGGATTGATTGGATGAACGACGATAGATATGTACTTTTATTTATTTATATAAATCTGGTAGAAATGAGGAGGAAGTTGTTAGTTGAATAATGAATGAAGTTTTATCGGATGATCACAGGCATCATGCGTTCGATTTTTTTCTTTTCTTCTGCATTTGCCGAATTTTTCCAAAGAAATAGCACAATATTTGTACTTTTATAGCTTATCAATCCTGAATAAAAGCTGATTAAACAGATTCCTTATCAGTAAAAGCAAAGAATGAATTTATTTAATATTATATTATCTTAAATATCGGTTTCAAGCCGACAAAATTTTATAAATTTTATCATATTTATCAATCTTGGATTCATAAAAATGGTTTTTAAAATGGTTTTCAAGATGATATTAAAGTCGATTAAATAAATAATGATTTGATTAATAAAAATAATGGATTGATAGCCGAATCGCATAGATGGTCGCCTCAGGCATCAAACTTCAGTTTTTATTTCTGATAAGAATAGACGTACCATTAAAAAATCTGGGCAATGCCACGAATCCACACCTATTTCTATCGCTAAATGAGAACCCTAACAAAAAATTTCTCGTCCTATTTACAGCCATCAGAGCGTGTTTAGTTAAAAACGCTAAACACTGGAAAATAAAAACACTGGATTTAAAAATTATTAAATTAAATAAAATATAACTGCAAAATTTTATATAAAATATTATATTTTATATAAAATAAATTTTATATAAAATATAATATTTTAATAAATATTTTGCTTTATTCTCATTTTAATAAATATTTTGCTTTATTCTCATTTTTCTTTTTCCTTTAATGCAAAACTCGAATTTGCAAACAGCTTTATTATTTTCTTTTTTTTCTTCGATTAACTCTTAGTAACTCTTCTATTAATTTCAGGTTCCCCTCCCCCTTTCCTCCCCGCTGAGCCAATTAACCTTTCTGTTTCTATTATTATTATTATTATTATGATCTATTATTGAATCCTCTTTCATTTTTTATTTTTCATTACTGATAGCTTCTTAAATCTCTTCACAAACATCAAAAATCGTACTCTCTTTTATTCAATTTTTTTTAAAAAATTTCGCCCATAAAATAAAAATAACAATTCAAAATTTTGTTGATTGGTTTCGTCGGCGATGAAAAAAAGAAAAAAATGCAAAGAATGGAAGATTAAAAAAAATTCAAAAATTTATTTGGAAGGGATGTTCAATGATGAAAATTTAACAATAAAAAACAAAGAAATGAAATCGAGAAGATCCACTAAATACGTCTTAGTCCCTGTCTAGGCATGGCTCAGGATCGCAAGACTTGGACACCTCTTGTCCCTGTCTAGGCATGGTATTGGATGGGAAGGCTTGGACACGTCTTGTCCCTGACTGGGCATGGCTCAGGATGGCAAGACTTGGACACCTCTTGTCCCTGTCTAGGCATGGTATTGGATGGGAAGGCTTGGACACATCTTGTCCCTGACTGGGCATGGCTCAGGATGGCAAGACTTGGACACCTCTTGTCCCTGTCTAGGCATGGTATTGGATGGGAAGGCTTGGACACGTCTTGTCCTAATCATTAATGCAGCCAGTTGAAACCATTAAAATGTTGCGAGTTACGAGAACACCTTAAAGAAATACGGTTTCGACTGTTTCTAATCCTTTCTTCCTTCTTTGCTTTAAAAATTCCTTTTGTTGATTTTATTCGTCGTTGTTTCCTTTCTTCTCTTTTCCTTTCTCTTTTCAAAATTTTTTTTTTTTTATTTAACGAATCATCTATATTTACTTTAAGCGATGGACTATCGTCTATTATGAGGGACCAACTTTTTATTACTTTACTATAACTTATTTTTCTACGTCCACTATTTCACTATAACTTACTTTTCTACGTCCACCACTTTACTATAACTTACTTTTCTACGTCCACCACTTTACTATAACTTCTTCGTGCGATGAATTGTCTATCACCTACCGTAATTTAATTCTTTTCTACCATAGTAATTCAAACAAACGATTTTGTCCGTGGAACATCGCTCCTCTTATCGCGAAAAACATTGTTTATATTCGTCTTCCTTTTGCTTAATATTAATTCCATCCATTCAGCTTCGATGAGCGAAAAAAAAGAACGAAAAAAAGCAAAAAAGAAAAAATTGAGGGAATTCTCAGTTGATTTAAAATTTTCAATAAGTTCATTGTAAAATAAAATAATCGAAAAATTAAATTCTCAGCAAACAAAAAATTATCAATCTAAAATAAAATGTAAGTTAAAGTAAAGTAAGTGAAATAAGTGATTACCATTTCTGCTTAACTCACTTAGACTTACTTAAATGGCAGTTAGAACGGTGAAAAATTTTGGCTAAAAGGCCGTAAATTCAGATGTAGAAATATAAATGAATTGCAAGTACCATTAGGATTTTTTGTTTTTAAAGAAGCAGAAAATCTTCTTCTCTCTCAACAAATGAACCACTTTGGACCACTCGTTGAAAGAAATATTTTAAACATTTTTAATTTTTAAAAGATGAAAATTTAAATTTTAAAAATTTACTATAATTTTCAATTTATTAAAATTTGCTAAAATTTTTAAATTAATTTTTTAATTGAATTGAATTTAATTGAATTTAATTGAATTCTTTTTTTAAATTTTAAGACTAAAATTAATAATTTAGAAAAAAATTATCATAAAATAAAGAAAAAAATTTTTAATTTTATATGAATTTTAATGAAAAATTTTGAAAATAGTTTAGAACAATATGAAGAGAATTATTTTTGGTTACTATTACATTCATTCTTTAAATAAATAATTAAGTAAACTATGTATTTAATTGCTTATTATTTTCAGCTAAACTCTGATTATTAGTACTATTGGAAATTTTTGGCTGAATGCTGTAATGGGACTCGTAATAAGTGCCAGAGGACCGCTGGTATAACCATTCATAAAAATGAGAAACGGAAATGAGAAGCAATGAGCACTATTGTTTCTTTAACTATTCAGAAATTAAATAAATTATTATGAATAATTTGCTTGCGATATTCAAAAATTTATTTAAAATCAAGAAATTTTTCAATTTATATTAAAGTTTATACTAAATTCATTATTTATTAAGTTTATAAAATATTAAGTTTATATTAAATTTATATATTTATACATATTATATATTTATATATAAATTAAAAATAAATATTATATATTGCGATTAATGAAAGTCATTTTGATAAATTTCAGCTCTGCTTGAAACTAAAAAATATAAATTCATTAATTAAGAATATAGGCAAGTACCATAGCAAAATATAATGGCTGACTAAATTTCATTCAGTTAAGTTTATATGAAAATTTTGGTCATTTTTCATTAGTAGGTTCTTAATTAACGAACAAGAATACTATGAATAATAAATTATTGGAAATTACAATAGTAATAATAATATAATAAAAATTAATAATAACAGTTATCAATAACAGCAATATAATAATAAAATAATAATAAAATAATAATAAAAAATAATAATAATAAAATAATAACAATATTCAATATAAGGAAAAGAGTGGAACCAGGAAGACGGGTAAGACTGGTTATGAATGAAATGAATAACTGTGTATTAGCAAAAAATCCCTCTTTCTTTTCTTTCTTTGATGGTTTTCAAACATATGCTCTTGTTCACTTTAATTTGTTGGTTATTTCAGTTAATTTTGAACTGTAATTTATTTTTTAAAGATCCAAAAGTAATAAATCTTTTTGAATCGCTTCAGAATTAATTGTCTAAATTTTAAAACTTTGAGGATGTAAAATTAAATCATTTATCATTAGATGAATTAATCACTAAAAGGCTATTTATAAGGCCATTTTTTTAGAACAATTTCCACAATAATTAACAATAATATTGATAATAATAACAATTATAATAATATAATATTAATATCAATAATAATTATAATAATAATAATGAATAATAATTGTAATAATAAATAATTATAATAATAAACATAAAAAAGATAATTAATACAATTAGATAAGCTCAAAAGGCAACTGAAACGCTTATTTTGTTTGTTCATTTTTAGCTTCGCCCTTTAAAATAGCTAATAAAATGAATAACTTTCCATGTTTTTGAGATTCTTCTAAATTTTTTTTTTTTTTAGATAAATTACGAAAACAAAACTTCTTCTTTTCAACAAAAAAAATATTTATTTTGCATTATTTCGAATGTAATATTTCGAAAAAAATTACTTTTTTAATTTTTAATTACCCATAAATTATATTAAATATTATTTTATTCCCTTTCGAACCTTTAACAATGCCAAAATGATTGTTTATAATTCACTAGTATCAGCAGCAACAACAGCAGCGAACAGAATGAGGATTATTAGGATCAAATGGATCAAAAGGATCAGCAGAGCTGGCAACATGCACTTTCTTATTTTCCACTTGGATCAATTGAATCAATAGAAAAATTGCACTTCACATTACACTTATCATTGATACTTATCAAAAGCTCCTCGAAAAATATTTCTAATAGATTTTTTTTTTTTGATATTCATACTGATAATAATATCTATCATAAACTTTCTTTATTTTATCAAATTCCGGTAGCCTTTAGCGAACAAAACGTTAAATTATTTTAGTCGATTGATCAGCTGGTGAGATTCCAATAAAAGCGCAGTAAATTGAGTTGAAGCAATAATACTGGAAACTCGATAAAATAAATATAAAAATTTATGATATATACATTTATATAATGTCGAAGACTTAATCAAAAAAACTTTTATCAGCATATTATCAGCATATTCACATTAAAATTTTCTTCATCTTTTGCAGTTTAAAAATTCATTGGACAATTTTAAGATTATTATAATCTTTAAATTCTGCATTTGACTAATACGTTTATGCGTTTATCTTTGCAAAATTTTAATCATTATTTAAGTTTTATTGTGTTGATTATCGGAAAGTAATTTTATTGCTTTTTTTCCTTTTAAATCACTCATTGATTTTTAAAAAATCGCTTAACAGAGGTCTGCCAATTGCATTAGATGGATCTGTGGTTAGATAATTGAATGGATGTATGGATAGATGGATGGATGATAGTGGTAGTGATAATGATGATTATAATGATGATGATCTTTGATGCCTAAATTGCTCATCGCATTTTCTCGCCATTCATAATAATAGTTTCGATGATCAACGAGGGACTGAAAAGATTTTTTTTTAAATTAAAATATATAAAATAAAATAAATAAAAATATTTTGAAAAAGATTTCCGTAACATTGCGATTTTAATAAATGAAAAAACGTCATAGAAAAATCATATTTTTCTCAAAAATAGTTCTTTATATATTATTAAATATTTCATTTAATAATAAATTTTTTGAAAATAAATTCAATTTTTAGGTTTATTTAAGAAAAATTTTCTTAAAAAAATTCTTAGGATTTCTAGATTTAAAAATTTTTAATTAATTTTTTAATTTTTAATTAGTCTTTCTTGTCCAACATTAATCCAACACTTTTTTTAGGAATCTGTCAAAAATATATATATAATTTTTAGCATTTGATAACATCGTCGAGATATGGTGAAGACTTGGTTGCACTTCTAATTCTACCACCAAATAACTCTCTGACGAAAATTTGTTTGACCCGATAAACTAGTGGAATGAACCTAACCACTAATGGTGAGTATTCTTAGAAAAAAAACACAACCCATCTATAATTGCACTGCCAGGCAACTAACCTAATTTCCTAGCTAAATTCACATTAATACTGAACGGAGAGGATTAAGAAATGATGACCATTAATCTTACTCTTATGAAATAGGTTTGATCAAGAAAAAAAACCCTTAAAAATTTTCACTAATCTAAATTCGCACCACAAAGATAGTATTGTAAGATATCAACAAGTTTTATCTTTTCTGAAACGGCTCGATAATTACTTGTTTTTCTATTAGGCATAAGGACGTGTATTATGGTGATCTCGAGTACCATAGGAGACATTTGACGAGAACAAACCTATTATGAAAAGCCGCGCTGAGAATGCACAATGCTAACTGTATGTACTTGTGAAATTTTTCGATAAAAAATTTTTAGAATCAACCAAACCAATGCTGAGAATTCTTAGGGTTTATTGAGGAATAAGAAAAACTCATAAAAAATTATGACTGCACTAGGCTTGCAAAAAAGAATCGAACAAGAATTTCAATGGAATAGTGAGAACAACAATTGGGATTTTAAAAAATTGCATGATGGGCCGGAAAAAAAAAACCGATGAAAAATATTGCCGACATGACATTTGCCATAAATTATTGCTGATTTCATCGAAATTCAAGGTTTTATGGGAAAATATTCCATAAATTTTGAGAAACGAATTCACATATAGGGATTGATAAAAAAAGAAAAAATGTAATGTAAAATTTCTTCTCGAAATTGATAAAAATTGATAAATTAATAAATAGACGATTGAAAAAAAATTGAAAATTGCATAATTTTTTAAATAAAAATTAAATTTATTCAAGTTTCTTTATTTATTTTTTTGCATTATATTGAAAATAGAATAATCTTTGAAATATGGAATAGAATGGTTGTTGATAAGATTATCACCTCAAG